ACAAAAATGGATGTCGGAGACCAGACCATATTGGTAAAGTGGGCGCTGGATGGCAAACATTGAAAGACCAGGTACTAGAAGCTCAAAACTACTTCCGTTGTCTTCACGGGGTCAAGGCATTGATTTGGGACACTGCTGCAGAGAAATTTGCCGAGCGTCTATCAAAGAACAACGCCGCCATCGGTAGACTTGAACACTCCCATGGCAGTGAGTATGGTGAGAACGTTGCAATGCAGGCAATCTCAAAGAAGGAGTACATTAGTGGTAAGTCAGTTATGTATGTAGTGGGGGGGTACCTATGCAGATGTGTGGTTGGAACCCAGAGTAATAGTATCGGTACGTCCAGTTTACAAATGGCGTGGTCAATGAACATCCTACACCTTTAATTTAGTAATTAGCTCATTTCACATTTATGTTTTGTTTTTGTTTTTTTGCTATTGAAATCGTGAATCGATTTGCATCACATGTATAACATAGAATCAGCTTCACCAAGTTTAGGATATCTGCACATACACTACCAATTGAAAAACTTAGATATCAAGGGATACCTTCAGACGAAAGAAAGTGCCAACTTTGTAATAATTGGGCTATTGGCAATGAAATCCATGCACTTTTAGTCTGCAACCATACTGAAATATCAAATGCTCGTACTGAATTTCTGAATACAGTTAGAATTTTAATGAAAGTATCTTTAAACTATCAAAACAACAAATGTTTGCAGAAATTTTAAGTTCAAGAGTTGGGTTCATTGCCAATAGTGCTAGTAAATCAGCATATTATTTTACCATAAGTAATTTTTTGTAGATTTTAGTCTTTTATGTATTTTCTTTTGTTTTGTGTGTGTACTTGTGGTTTTATGTATTTTTAATGTATTTTTTTTCAGGTTATGGATTTGCTAAAATGTGGTACGATGAAATCCAGTTTTATGATTGGAATAATCCACACTTTGCATCAGAAACAGGTGAGACACTTTTGAAAACGGAAAGAAAACACTACAAAGCTTTCAGAAAATCACAAGTCTTTCGCAATAAATGCTGCCCATACGCGTGTTACTATAAAGCTACATTATTCTAGTAGTTTTACAAAAGCCGCACTATATCGTATATTCTATATATCAAAATATCTTAGTGTGACAACCTGTTCTAAAATTTTTATCTCTACAGGTCATTTCACACAAGAAGTTTGGAAAGGTTCGCGTCGCGTTGGATGTGGTTTTGCGGAAGCAAAAGACCCATCGGGGAATTATATGCAGTACTTTCTCGCTTGTGAATACGACCCTAAAGGCAATCACTTCGACTACTTTCCTGAAAACGTTGTCCCACCAATTTAATTTGCGACACGACTGAGGGCGCGCCATATCTGGTTTCTAATTTTTTACAAGTTTCTTTTTCTATAGTGAACATGATTGGTATTTATATAAATGGATAAACCACGCCCTGTCCATTATTCACTTTTGGGGTATAAATGTGAATAGTATTTGTAGTATTTCCAAATATGAAAACATTGTGGTAAAGACTTTACGTTTTCAACATTGTGAATTTTTTTCGTTTTTATGAAGAAAAATACAGTATTTTTATCAAGTAAAATCGTATTTATTAAAGTTATTGTTCATACATGAGTTGTTAAACACACTGTATAGTTTGTAATTTCAATCAGCTTCTTTCAGTCATAGTTCGAGGCAAATATAGGGCAAACATATAGAGAATATAGCAAAAACTCCTTTTCCCGTAATATTCTAATTATGAAAATTATGTAATTATGAAAATCTATTGGTGCATAGGGAATACATTTCAGGTTTTTTTCTCCCCCAAAAAACGAAAGAATTTCACAATGTCGAAAACGGAAAGTTTTTACCGTAGTTTTTGAAGTAAATACAACATTACACTTAGTAAATGAAAGGGCCAACTAGAGAAGAAGCCGTGAAGCAACAATAAAGAAACAATAGTAATTTGTAATGTGAAATAAATTGAAGATAAATTGAAACATGTGAATAAACATTCATTTGTCAGTTGTGTAAATTTGCTTGAGTGTTCGAATATTTCTTATGTCAACATCGGATCATGCAACCCCCCGGGCTTTTCGTTATCTCTTATTAAATCAGAGGGGGGCATATTTCGATTGGTTGGAATAATCGACTTTTCAGTAAAATTGTGCCAAAATGCTTACCAATAGCTTACGTGATAGTTCTGAATTGAAGGATTCTATCGTTGCGAGTCGAACAACTGATGTAAAGGTGTTTTTGAGACACGTTTTTGTTCAGACTCCAGCAAACTGTTGAAAGTAACCACAGAATTTATCTTCAAAGTGATCATAGAAAGTTACGAAATTGGTGGAGAAGCACGTTGATATTTCACTCTAGTACTATTGCTCAAAATGTTTCCAATAACTAATTAGTATGTATTTCGGGAAATCACTGTGTGTGTTCATGCGCAATTTGTAACAATTTTGAACGCAATAGAATCACGCGTAGAACTCACTACAGTATGATGAAATTGTTTGCACGTATATGTTGATCGACTTAATTAGCTGATTACTAGCGAATGGGTGTGTTATGTTTGTCATCGTTCAGGCCCATGCGAGGTTCTGGACAAAACTTGGTTCAGTGATTTGGAACTAATTACGAGATAACCGTCGCTATTCAGACTACTATTTCTGACAGTTATTAATGTAGTGAACGATTAATCAAAAGATATGACGTGTTCAGTACTTAGTGTGATTGGCTTTATGATTGAAGGTTACGCCCTAGAGTCTTTTTACTGCTTTGTAATTGGTTAAGGTTTTGAAAGTGAATAAAGTTGTTTTGGTTGGGCTTGGCGAGTACACCAGGACAGACGCAGTCTAAGGCAGTCTTGACGCAGTCTAGAGAGAGTCTTGGGACAGTCTTGACGCAGTCTAGAGAGAGTCTTGGGACAGTCTTGACGCAGTCTAGAGAGAGTCTTGGGACAGTCTTGACGCAGTCTAGAGAGAGTCTTGGGACAGTCTTGACGCAGTCTAGAGAGAGTCTTGGGACAGTCTTGACGCAGTCTAGAGAGAGTCTTGGGACAGTCTTGACGCAGTCTAGCAGTCTTGGATCAGCCTTGCGATAGTCTTGGGGACTTTTCCCCAGGGCGCTGTGTCTTATAGAGTACTCGACTGACCGACTAAGACGAGAGTTGAAACGTATTTCGTTGTGTGCGTCTATTTGACTGTAAAAGTTTAAGTGACCTCCCCGATCCAGTACCTCAAGGGGACGCGATAGAAGACGAGACGAGATTCCCCCCTTACACGTGTGGAGAACCCCAGAGAAGAAGAATTTTCCCCCTGATAACAGCAAGAAACTTGTGGCGTTAAACTGATTGTCGGTTGAATTGTTTCGCAATAGACATGATTTTAGAACCTGAATATTTCTATGTGACGTTTCTATATTTTGTTGAGAATTATTCTGTAAAGAAATCACTGCAATTATTTCGTCTGTTCGTAAACGGGACGCTGTTGCGACTGACTTCGGGCGACTGACTTCAAACGTTCTATCCAGATCAGACGGTGCCCTCTTGAGCCAATCCCTCCTGCATTATTATTTCTACAAAAGATGTATAATAATGTAGCTATCACGAGAATACTGTATAGCGACGCGTTCCCGTACTGCCTGAGTAAATACTTTGTGGTATTTTAGTAATAACTACATAATATACTGAAATTGATAAAACGTACGAAAAACTAATTCAGTACATAATATAACCATGTTGATATTGTACACATTAAGTTTAATTACAAAAAATAGAAAATCATAACCTTAAACATGTGATGTGTCATATTGCAAAAAGAATTACGATAGTTTTCTGTGAAATAAACTATCCTTAATGCCAGAGTATCCTCGGTGGCGGAGCTACGTCACAAGACGTTCCACGTTGCTAAGACGCGCACCACTGTACATGCATTTCTATGGGCTCTGTGCGCGCTGCTGTGGAACGCCGGTCGAGCTGGTGAAAGTTCGAGAAAACAACACAAACTCAACTTTGAAGTAATCCCGAACAACCAAATTTATATATGTTACACACGTAGGGCTAATCTTGTTACACTGTTCAGAGGAGCCATCCCAAAGTACCGTTTTCTGCGAGTTTTGGGCCTTTGTTTTCACCGCCGCGGGTTGCCAGACGGTGAAAATGCCCGGATGTCCGCGCCCGAGGATTGGAACAAATATATTTGTCCATCCAGTAAGATTGACTGGGACTTTACAGTGGTTGGAATCATGTTATAACTGGTTCTCACTCGAACTCGACAGTGCCTGGTCCTATCCACATCATATAGCTTCCATACACGCCGATACAAATAGTGATCTGAATGACGTCACTCCGCTATGCTAGTTCGTGTTATCCTGTACGAATAAATAACACTGACCCAAATACCAGGTTCCTTGGTACTGTAAAGGGGGTAATTATTCACTGGGTTTTAATTTAGCTTATTTCGCTGACTGGAAAAAATGCGCTAAATTAAAACACAGTGAATATGTAAAATTTAGCATAGAACACATTATCTCAATGACGAAACCGTGAATTTAAAACCCACTGAATATGCCTGAAATGGTAAATCAGTGAAATTTAAACCCAGTGAAAATTAGTCATTTTACAGTATTGTGAAGACAGTCAGAGGCGGCGGCACGAACTTTTACATGTGGGGGCGAGATCTACTCATCAACCTCGCGCAAAATTTACAAATTTTGAAATCTAGACACACTGAAACGCTATTTCCTGCATTTTGAGGGGCGTGTTGGTATATCAGTGATCATGTTTCTAATATCATTAGATCTAATCGATGTGTTGACATTATCTATCACTTAAGGATAAATACTACTTTGTGGGGAAAATCGATAATAAAACATTCACATTTCTTGTTTTATTCTTTAAAATAATTAAGTAGACTTTAAATGGATAAAAAGGTAATAATTCAGCAATATCAGATCGAAGGAACAACATTATCAAAGAAATAGTCGAAGTGGTTGCCTCTAGGGTCATATTCACAGGTTAGATAAAATAGTAAATAATGTTCTGTTCGTCACGTGCTTCTGCGAAACCACATCCGACACGACGCGATGACTTCCACACTTCTTGCGTAAAATGTCCTGAAAAAAGAAAATGAATTATAAATATTATATTTGTTGTGATATAGAACACCATTTTTGGGAAAGTGGAGATCGTGTTTTTATAATTGTGACCGCCTAAAACGGTTATTAACACAACCACAATGATGTAATTTGAATAAAGACAATTACACTATTATCATTTTTCATTCTATAGAATAAAAAATATGGAAAAAGTTTACGTTGCTATCGACAGAATAAACTTATTTTCTTCATTTTTATAATAATTTGTACATTGTATCCAACCACCCAATCAACGAGCGTTAAATGAAGTCAAAGTCAAATCAAATAAAATGTTCAAGGGATTCAAAATTTAGAAAATAATTCGTAATAATAACTGAGTCGAAATTAGTTTAACCAATACATTTTACGTGACTTGAAAATTATCATTCAGGATGATGGCAATTTATGATTATTACTGTTTACCTGTTTCTGATGCAAAGTGTGGATTATTCCAATCGTAAAACTGGATTTCATCGTACCACATTTTAGCAAAACCATAACCTGAAAATAAACAAAATTATTTAGAGACTGCGAAAAAATATCTTGCTTATGACGTCACTAGAAAGTTGATAGAACAGCGACCTAATTCTTACCTGTTATTTCCTCTTTATTTACTACACTCTTCATAGCAACGTTTTCGCCATATGCATTGTTGTGCGCATGCTCAAGTCTACCATTGGCGGCGTTGTCTTTGGATACTCTTTCTGCAAACTTCTCGGCACGAGTATCCCATAACAGCGCATCGATACCATGAAGACAACGAAAGTAGTTCTGGGCTTCCAATATCTGTTCTTTTAGTGTTTCCCAACAGGGACCAGATTTACCAATGTGATCTGGTTTTCTGCATCCATTCTGATCAACCTCACCATACCCTAGAAAAATGACGACAAATCCAATTTTAGCGGAAATATAAATCAGAAAGTTTGCCATAGCGATATCTATGTACATGGGGGAAATTTCTATTCATATACACGTTCTTTGAAACGGCACATTTAATTGTTGCGTTTTAAAAGAGGGCGCTCTAGATAATAAAATAGTAGTTAAAATATTGATACAATTGTCGTTAACATAATCTCAAAACTACTTAACGATGTCTTGGCGCGTTACTATGAATATATGTTGACAATGATTGATAAGTTATTTCATGACAACGATTACCAAATATTATCTACAATATATCATTTTATCAGGCCGATAAGCTTTTTTTATACTGCCAAAAATACCTAACTTCTCATACATATAAAGCGGGGAATTCGTCATCTGCGCATGCGTCTGATGGCCAATAGCGTTTTTAGTTGTTATTGTCGCTCTTGGGACTCAGTCCCCGCGCGTGCACAGGTGACGACCCTCCCGCTACAAAGCAATATACTTACCACAGTCTATTTCATCCAAACCGTTTGGACATTCTATAAATCCATCACAAAATTGATTTTTACGAATACATTTATGTTCACACCGATAGGGAGCATCTCGATACAATCCACCACATCCATTAGGGTCATACCAAGGCACCTCCGTCTAACTCTGAGAAATAAACAATAACTCATTATTTCTACAATGCAGACCAAAAGAACATATAAATTGTTGAATTTAATTAATTAAAAGATTAATTCATTAAAAATACACATCAATGTTAATTACGTGTGTAATGCACACGCCTAAATCATTATACGAAAAGACATCAGTCACGTGACGAATGGACGTGCATGTTTTCACTCACCGGTTGGTCCTATGTTGTCAGACATTAGTGTCGGTTTCGTTGTTGGTTTCACTGCTACAAGAAAACAAATTAAATGTTTTGACGTTTTGATATAAACGTTATATATCGGTGATAGCAAATTAACATTTTAAACATTTTCTATTCATCTGAAACAATTGATAGATTTGTGAATCTGATTCGGATAGTATTTAAATATTTATTTATTTGTTATATTTATTATCGTTTGAGATTAATGTCGCTAAAATAATGTTGTATTTTCTGAGATAATTTTGACAACTTACGACAATTCACTTCTTCACTTCCATCCGGGCATTGTTGGTAACCATCACATATATATTTGTTTGGTAGACAGACGACTATAGAGGCACATGTGTGGGCGAAACCCGCACCAAACCTCTCTTCACAGTCTTCATCGAACACAGCTGTTATCGGAATACAAAGATAATTGATTACAAAAATGTGCTAACAAAGTCGTTCTCTCCAAATGTGTATATTGCGCCCTCTACCAACAACAAACCACACAGCCACGAGGGCGCACTGTATGAATCAAGTCATGTAATTACATATCATCTTGGAGAAAACAAAACGAAATGTTTTCTTAGAATAACGACGATAACAATTTGAAAGTATGATTTCTACTGGCTGACGATCACAGTAATGGCGATATTAACGTCGACGTTGAATGAAAACGAATATTACCTTTTCTAGTTAAGCCATGTCTATAAGCCTGCAACGAAAAAAAAAAAAAAAACAGTAAACAAATAAATATAAAATCAGGGTGGCGGATAAATTGAGTATACTTTTTGTAAAGACAATTTATGTGTTTCACTGTATAATAATTCCCAGAGGAATTTTCAAATAACCATTAAAGATATACTGCCTTTACATCAAATGCGCTCGATTCGCAATGCGAAATAGGATGCGGATTTGAGAAGTCCGGAAAGGAATGGTTTTTCGTCATAGCACTGTATTTATGTAATACCGCATCAATATGTGTAACCACTGTTTTAGAAAAATAAATAATAGATTTAAAACAATGAACGTTCAGCGTATTTTAATTTGTCTGTCGGGAAGGTTTTCTTTTAAATGAACGCTTGACAAACATTCAGCGGATGTGCTAATTATGCGCATGCCTCGCTCATTTTTCACGGAAAAAAACCTACTGAGATTTGCACCGGCGCAATCCCACTCATTACATCAGTTATTCGTTGTATGGGTATATCCTAGCGCTTATGAACACGGAAATGGTATTTGAAAATAAGGAAAAGAGTCCTGTTTTGACTAATTGTTGAGCTTCGATAGATAATCATAAGATGGCCATTAAGTCTACTAGTATGTTCTTAAAGGGCGGTGGTCGTAGCGCTGTGCATGTGCAACATTGTTGACAGACATTGATTTTCCCATAATCCAATGCGCTCTTCTAATGGAAATCACAAGTATGAGGTTTGCCCTGGGCGCGACTTACACTAATTACCGCCCGTGACTTCTTCAATACCTCCCAATGACCTAAAAAGTCGCCATCTTTGTTTATATGAGACTCATATATCTCGCGCGTGCGTGACGCGACGACTACCGCCCTTTAAAGTTTATCACTGAACATTATACAATGGCACTGTTTTGCACGGAATGCATTTTTGAGTTACATCACCGTCCCTGAGAGACATTGGTTACATGAATAGAGTCAGGAACCGTACAAATACTATGAATGATGTAAAGGATCCAAACGTTGCGTACGGGTTATTCAGTTACCGTACATATAAATGTACTTCAATTCCGATTAAGTCTCCGAGTACAATTGACAAGTTGGCGCATATGCTTTTATCACCATTATTTGGCATTATCATGGAAGACTAGAGTTGGCAAAAACCTGTTCTGTGAGACTCACCTTTGCTTAGGGTCGTCCATTTGTAATATGCACTCCACTACATAACATACCCAATAAGACTAATACATGTGTTGATATCCACTCCATCTTCAAGTATATACAAGACTGTACTGGATCTTCGATAGGATGGCTTATTTTATAAAGTCAAACATTCCCACAATGCATCACACACACCCTATATTGTTCTGAAACCCATTCCCACGACGTGTCATTTCCATTAACGCGTTGACAAACTATTCCGGACGTAAGCGCGAATCGGTCCAATGATTACCTCCCGGGTCTATGCATGACAATTGCAGTGTGGTAACAGTGTGTCAATACGTGTAAACTTGTGAATTCAACTATAAGGGACCAACAATGACATCACTTCACTGACGCTGAGTGAAAACAAAACACAATTAGAAACTATGAGAGAAGACGAATTTGTCTTCACCTCGAGTTGAGCTACATTTTTTTGTCGGTGGTGTTGGTGTATTTGTATTTGTTGTCTTTCTTTTTCAAGTATGTTTGAAATATTTTTTTTATCAATAATACTGTTTTTCCGACGCTTCCCCTGTAATCTTCTTCAGAATTCATGGATAGAGAGACTGTGGTTCTATGGTCTAAAGTATAGTTTACATGTCTACTAACAGGGCTATTGGGTATGTACAGACATACTACAGATCTCAAATATACAAACAATAGTGAACGAGTATCATTCACGCTAGTATTACTATGGCAACGAGATATCTATTTTCAATATTATTATACATGAAGAATTGAGGTGTAAACATAGGCCCAATACGTATTACATAACACATATTTCATGTTAAAGCCCTATCTGACGTCAACCAGTTTCCTAATTTACTTTCGGGTTGTGCTAAATCGCGTAATGTTCATTGTTGATCCGTGTGTCAATAAGTCAATACAACCGTATCTGTATTATTAGATCATGCCTTGACGATACTGCCATTTAATTTGCCGCAAATGACACTAGACTAAATCAATCTACCTTAAATAACATTCATACATGGTTGGTTGGTTGGTTGGTTGGTTGGTTGGTTGGAAATAAACACAATAACAGTTAGTGTTCATAAAGCTCAATGAACATTATCAAAAACAGCAAAATGCTTCAATACAAGTAGTGTATTTGACACGATCGATAATCGATCAATTGAAGGATTACGTGATTTACATACAAGTTTAAATTGCAAGACTGGCGCAGTCCGGACTTTCTCATTGTTTTGCGAATAAATAATGAATTTTGAAGAATCACATCTTTTTTTACAAAAGATAAAAGTTGTATTTTGCACACGGAACAAACTAAAATGCATAAAATAAAGATCAACTCTCGTCCACTGTTTACCGCCCATTTCTACGTCACAACAGATCAGCACAGATTAAAAACAGATGTGTTCAAGGACGGGTTGTCAGTGAGCTAATTCAAACTTGGTAATCCCATTCCGACGTGGTAGGCCTATTCCAAGCTAACATCCCATTCCAACGTTACAGTCCTTTCTTACCTGGTAACAAATTCCAGTATGACGGCCCATTCAAACCTGTCGGGGCGATTCCAACCTCACAGCCTATTTCAACCTCGCAGCCAATTCCGCCGTGGCAGCTCCAATCAAACCTGACTGGTCCATTCCAACCAGCAAGTTTATTACAATTTGTCAGACCCATTCTACATTCCAACCCGATAGACCTATTCCAACCAGGCATGCCCATTCCAACCAGGCATGCCAATTCCAACCTGGCAGCACATTCCAACTTGACAACGAATCCTAGCCCGTAAGCCCAGTCCAACAAGGCAGCTCATTCCAACTTGCCAGCTCTATTCCAACCCGACAAACCCATTGCAATCTGATATGCACTTTTTCAACTGGTTGACCTATACCAGCCTGACAAGCTAATTCTTACCAGGCATACCATTTCAACCTAGTAGAAACCTGGTGGACTCTTTCTATTCTGGCTGGCCCATTGATACTTGACTGGTTTATTACAAACTATTTAATCCTATATTAACTCGATAGACTCATTCCAACCTGACAGGCCTCTTCCAAAATTGCAGTTCATTCCAACATGACTGATCCTTTTAAGCCCGATGAGCCAATTAACCTGTCAGTTCATTGCACACCGGCAGGCCCATTCCAACCCAAGGAGCCCATTCAAACCTGCCAGGCCTATTTCTACCTGACGGACCTATTCTACTCTGACGGGCATATTCTAACTTTGCAGCCCGGTCCAACTTAGCAACCCATTCAAACCTACGAGACTCATCCCAACCTGGCAGACCAATTCCAACCCTGACGTTTCACCCTGACAGGCCTATTTTAACTTTGTAGCACGATCCAACCCATTCAAACCTAAGAAACTCATCGTAACCTGGCATTCCCATTAAAACATGACAGGCTCATTCTAACCTGATACCATGTTCAAACCTGATTGACCCGTTCTAACCTGGTAGACCATTTCAACTCGACGGACCCATTCCAATCTGACAGGCACATATTACAACTGTTCAACCTGGTCCAACCTAAGAGACTCATCCCAACCTGGCAGACATATTCTCATCTGGTAGCCCATTCCAATCTGACATGCCCATTCCGACCTGACAGGCCATTCCAACCTAGCACGGCCACTCCGACCTGACAGACCGATTCTAATCTGGTAGCCCATTCTATCCTGGTAGGCCCATTCCAACCTGACAGGTCATTCCAATCTGATATGCCCATTCCGACCTGACAGGCCATTCTAATCTGACATGCCCATTCCGACCTGATAGGCCATTCCAACCTGGCACGCCATTTTCGACCTGATAGGCTCATTCTAACCTGACATCCCGTTCCAACCTGACTGACCCATTTCTACCCGATGGGCCAATCCCAGCCCGGCAGACTCATTTCAAAATATCAAGACATGCCCATTCAAAGTATCAAGCTCTTCGATGACCTACATACCTACACGATTAATTCAATTCTGTATCTTCATGACAAAACTGCAGCCATCGTAGAATATGCGCAAACACTGATTGGTCTCCGGCTATTATTATCTACATATTATCTACTATGCTTGCTCATGAGTATTGTTGAATTACACAGGCCTTTTAACGTATGTATGATTGTAGTATGATATGAAACAAACAAAGACACCGTGACTATTTATAGATATGACTATATTATTGACATTTCGGCGCGTACATAGTTGACAGGGTCAATAATGTGCTTTTAGTTAATTCCTACCATAATGAATATATATATAATAAATCCTTTTAAGACTTAACTTTCATCAAACGTACCAGTATTTTATAAATCATCGAAAGTTATGTGACACGAAACTAGTGACGAAACTGAAAAGCGAATTCATTAATTATCACATATAGAAATTTCTACTAGGTTCCACCATTTGATATGTGAGTGCACTTTGTACAGAGAAATTCTTCAATAAGTATGAAAACATTTCTACAAATTAATTTGCATGTTCTTAATAACTAATATTATAACTAATATTTGCCAGAGATTGGACTGGTAAATATTTTCGAGAAAGGTTGTAGATGAAGAATCTTATTCGCTGTGTTATTTATTGAATTAAATAAAAATGAGCAATAAATCTGATCATGGTCAGTTATAATGATTAATTAAATGATTATATATACATATATCCTATTATTTCACTTTGTTTTCGTTTAAAAGATAATTTTCACGAAACTCCATTTCCTCGAAACTGATATAATTTATTTAAAGGAAGTCATCGAATTACGATCGTTACAATTAATGATAATTTGATCTCGTAAAAAACTCAATAAATTATATTAATCTGCCACGTAATGATACCGAATCACGTGATCCAGAACTGTCCAATGAGATGACGGCGACAGGTTTAAATACCTATTCACCACCAGGTATGCACTGTAGTCACAGAACGTGTCTTTGATTTAGTAGACACTATATTCGTACCAGTAAAATGCAGTTCATCTTACTCATAGTATGGATGTTGGTCTTCAACGCCGAGTCATCACCAAAGGTAGTGTATATTGTATTATATATATAGGCACGGTAACAAAACACCGTACGGGTAAAAGGTGTTACGTACGCGTTCGTTCGAATGTCTTCTTTATTTGGTAACTGTGCGTCATATTTTCGCCACATTCAAAAAACTTTCCTTCGTTACATCGGACTCTGCAACAAGTTAGCGCGTGCCTGAAAGAATGGTTGCGCAGGTGAAATATTACATATCGCTTGCATGTCGGGTTGTTCTGACTCACTACATTGTGAATACAAGCAGAAGAAGAAGGTTTATAATAATAAAGTTATCATGGTAATGCAGTACTTCGCGTGAGTCGATATGATCACCGTACTGCCTTCTTGCATACTTTGCAGTATTCTCTTTACATTCAATTTAAATGTATATACAGTTTTCTAATTTGTTTCATAGGAAACATTTTTATAAATTATTATTAAGATTTATGTCAATAACACACTGTATTTCTATGAAAAATGTTACGAAGTTATCGCAAAGTATGCACAAAGGTCGTTCGGCGATTGTATCAATCGACAAAACGACACATTATATTGTTTTCGATGTATATTTGTAGGATTTTTATCAATAACACTTGGATAATGAAATAAATAATATTGCGATTTATATCAGTAACACTTTAAATTTGCTTATCGAAAAATTGAACATTTACCCGACACCCCCACATATTACTGAAAGTGTGAAAAAATTACGTTTTTATTCAATAATTAATTTAATAAGTATTACATATTATTATAATTTTTAAAATTCGTCTTATTCGTCATAAATTCATCATATGTACAAAAGAAAAAAAGATCATATCAGAACTGACGATTGTAAAGAACTACACATATAATAACAATTGTGTTGTAAATTGTCACACGTCATGTGTGTATATTTTAAACTGTATTTAGTTCGAGGGTTGGTGTATTTGCAACTTACTAACGACATTGTACAAAATTATTAGCAAATTAAGTTGGAGCTTTGAAATAATCACGGTATTGCGGATTAAGGTTGAAACCTACTCATACTTTTTGACAAAATTAGTTACAGATCGCATGACAATGTTCATTAGTTTATTATGCACAATCATGAAGCTAATATCCCATGGTACAATGAAATAACATTATTTTGTGTGTTACAGTTATACTTTTTGAGAAACCTGTCCTAATATTTCTTGAAATCGCTATTTTATAATAATGCATTTTTTACCACTTTTTAAAACCCAGACAAAAAGTACTTCATCATTAACAATATATGATTTTTTCAGCCTATGTCACCAGGTTAGATTTTGAGATATCGCATAATATCCCTGCCATAGGAACCTATGGTAAAAACATTATAATAGTTCCAATATGACGACTTTCCACTAAAATACAACCATCTATTTCTCGAACAAAAGGCTGGTCACCACCAACTTTTTTTAGGTCAATATCCTTATATTGCCTTGGAGTACAGTTTATTGTAAAATGAATAAAATCTGGGTATTTTAATTTATGAGTAGGCTTCTAACTTAAGTTGGATACAACTTTAAAAAAGGCCCATGCTGGTTTCGCCTTATTTTATTTGTTCGAGATTTATATTGATATTTGTCAAATACTAACAGCGGATATGTTCTGCCACACATTATCAAATTGAACTCCGTAATTATAGATTGATTTAATTGACACTAACTTAATATCCTGTAAGCTATACGTTTATGCGATCATTAGGCACATAATTACTGCGTACTTTGTTCTCATTGATATGTTCATGTCGTAAATGTTATATTACGGCAATTAAAAATGACCTGTCGTGCATGTTATTTTACGGCAATTAAAAATGACCTGTCGTGCATCTTTATTCTACGGAAATTAAAAATGACCTGTCGTGCATTTTTATTTTACGGCAACTAAAAATGACCTGTCGTCCATGTTATTTTACGGCAATTAAAAATGACCTGTCGTGCATGTTATTTTACGCCAATTATAAAATGACCTATGGTGCATCTTTATTCTACGGAAATTAAAATGACCTGTCGTGCATTTTTATTTTACGGCAACTAAAAATGACCTGTCGTCCATGTTATTTTACGGCAATTAAAAATGACCTGTCGTGCATCTTTATTTTACGGCAACTAAAAATGACCTGTCGTCCATGTTATTTTACGGCAATTAAAAATGACCTGTCGTGCATTTTCATTCTACGACAATTAAAAATGACCTGTCGTGCATTTTTATTTTACGCAACTAAAAATGACCTGTCGTGCATGTTATTTTACAGCAATTAAAACCTGTCGTGAAAAAGAGCAGTATTAAAACCATTGCATTACATATTTCCAATGAAGCGGCTTATCACTGAGCGAGAAAAAAAACACGTTTTCAGGTTTTTTGGAACAAACCTGTCATGCAGTGATGTGATATCTATTTAGAGGACGATTCTAGTAATTATTAACACCCCAGCCAAATGTAATTGAATATGTCCCACCAAATAACTACAAGTATCATGAAAAGGAATATATTCAAATGAATTTGAGTTTCTGAAGGGCTGGGTTAACACTATGACGGGTGACGGGGGTCCTAAGGAACTTTTACTGGTTTCATTGAGAATTCCATTAAAATATTTTTAAAATATTTGTATTTGTTTTAGGTTTTCGCAGAAAATGACCGTGCACGTAGAGGTATGTATAATACTCAACTTACTGAGATTAAAAATTTAATCATGTTTCCAGCTGCAGGGTCACGTATTCAGAACTCACTCGCGCATTGTTCTGTTTGATCACAGGTCTGTTGTCCATAGTTGATTGACATAATACAATTATGTAATGTACCATTAACGATCTCCAGGTAACACTAAAATATTCATTTCTTCATAGCGATGTAACAAAGAAACTCTTTTTTTGTAGCTAGTGGAGTAAAGTACAATGAGAAGTGCGCCCTCTACCACGGGCCAAAATACTCATTGTCATGCGCAGATGGCTCTGGATGTTTAGGAGAAGATCTCTTGTGTGATAATTTTAAAAATTGCCCGGATGGAAGTGACGAGTATGGATGTCGTAAGCATACAGTTTATATATACATTGTTTTATAACACTTTTTCTTTAGTTTCGAAATTATAATTTGCTTTGAAAATGTTCAAATATTTTCACTTTATGTTTAACTTCCTCTCATACCGTATAATTTTGTTCTTTATTTTAGAAGGAGAAGAGCAACCCCTGAGATCAGGGGCAAAGTACAGCGAGGAGTGCGCCCTCAAGTATGGAATAGAATACTCTTACATATGCGCAGACGATTCTGTGTGTTTAACAGAATCGGTCTTGTGTGATAATTTTGAGAACTGCCCAGATGGAAGCGACGAGTTTGGATGTCGTAAGAATACGTTTTATATTTACTTTATTTTTTTCATAAAATGAACTAGTGTAGTCTAGTCTAATCTTAGACTATATGCCGCTTGTGGTCGTAAGATTTTGACAAGTCTACGAATAATGGACAACTAGCTTACATTTCTCCCAATACATATAGTTTTTTTTTTTACTTTTCAGATGGCGAGCGTCCGGATCCTTGGAATAATGAAGACGAACCCAAAGGTGAGACTTCTTTATATTTAGTACGTTACTACATTTATACACCCGGGCCGGTCGAATAGCCAATCAGCGACAGCGTAACAGCAGGTCATGGTGCTTTCACTCGGTAATGGGGGGGGGGGGGGAAGAAGCCATGGTGTGATTGACAATAATTTGTCACATGAATTCATGGTAACAAAATATATCGTAACATGAGATGGCGCACACGATATTCACTGCGGTAACTCTGATTTGGACTTGACTCTGGGTTATATTGAATTGACTCTGGGGTATATTGGAGTTGACTCTGGGGTATATTGAAGTTGACTCTGGGGTATATTGGAGTTGACTATGGTACATGTATATCGAGATTGACACGCTTTATTTGATTGACTCGCTGTAGCTCGGAACTGACTCGGGTATGGGTTTTCTCGGTATTGGACCAGGGTCGATCACGACCTGTATGAACGACCGTTAGCGAAATTGAATGATATAACTTATACATAAGGGTTTGATATGAATGTAATTGCAAGAATGATATACCATTTTGTATGGTTTGTTTTTAGATGGGAAACCGTACGAATTCAATCAGTGTCGACTGGTATTCCCGGGAACACAGCTCAAATGTGTTGGAGAAAATAGGTGCGTTGCAGATAGTGACGTGTGTGACGGATTTCAAAACTGTAAAAATAACGGAGACGAGCTGGACTGTGGTGAGTACCATATACACCACCATGAGCAGCACAGTGTGACATAATTAAAGGGCGGCAGTCGTCGCGCTGCGCATGTGCGACATTTGTGTTGATAAACATTGATTTTCCCACAATCCAATGCGCTCTTCTAATGGGAATCACAAGTACCGGGTTTGACATTGGCCGACTTGCACTAATTACCGCCGGTGACTTCTTCGATACCTTCCAATCACCTAAAAAATACCAAACCTTGGTAACGTCTCAGTTTGTACTCGTTGATCTGCGCAACAGTCAAAGTCGCCATATTTGTTTATATGAGACCCATATATCTTGCGCATGCGTGGCGCGACGACTACCGCTCATTAACATATCGCATGTTGTTACAACATTTAATTTAATTTTTTAAATGAAAAGTTGTGATAGAGGAGTTGAATACGATGCGATACGATATGACATCATATTTTAATTATACAATTGAGTAAGAGCCTGTAATATTTATTTTTGTTATTTTATTTGTATCTCGTATTCTAAGGTTATGGTGTTAGAGACGAAAACTGGTGTGTTAAGCCTTATCAGCAGGGTGTTTCAGAAGGAGGCTGGTATTTCTTAAAAGAACAAATGTGGGAGGCGCATAACTACTATCGCTGTATACACGGTGTGCCGCCCATACATTGGGATGACGTCATAGCTATGGAGGCTCAGGCGTTAGCAGATGAAATAGCTGTCTCTCAGAGGATTGGACAACCGTCAGAAAAGTACGGGATAAACCAAGCAATGAAACAACTGCATTTGAAGGAACAGTATACAGGTATATCTCTAAACCAGAAAGTCTTCTAAAGCAAGAATTACCGGTGTCAATGGTCCATGTTCCCAGTAGAGACACACATTGACTTTTTCATACGAATGAAAGTCAATCTACTATGATCTGTTTGTCGCCCTCTACGACCACGCCGATGGTACTTACATTCACCAAATTTTGTGGCTATTTTACAATACACAGTATTCCAAAATATGATCTCAGTTTTTATGTGCATGTATATGTATCTGTTCACGGTGAGGCGGATTTCGTTTTTTATATCGCACTGTAACATACGGACATCCTCTCCCCTTCTCTCAATGAAACAATGAACATACATTAGATACTAGTATCTCACTCGGCTCGACGCCCACAAAGAAACTTGATCATTTCTACGGCTTTAAAACTATGTTGACATTACATTTGTTACTTATGAATCTCTATAATAATTATACCACTCTCGGTCTTGTGACCCAACGCGTTTCCGCTACTCGATGTCAATTTCATTATTATAAATCATTTTATATTTTAGGACTTGGTTTTGTGAAGTTATGGTACGATGAAATCGAATTCTATGATTTTGAACACCCTTCTTATAGTGACCAGTACGGTGAGTTTGACACCATCTTCGCCAGCCACTCTACAGGCACGGTTACTAGAAGAATTTTGAAGTAACCGTGCTACACGTCACCATTTCCGACATTTTGTTCTTTAGCTTAACGCGCAATGTTACAGAGCGTCTGATTGGACGCCTTTCCAACAGGCGCATCCAATCAAACTTTGCCATTTTTAACACATAAAATGCGCGTTTACCCAGGTTTATCCCGCCCGGATGGTGGAGTCGGCACCAACAAACGGTGCGATTCGGTGATGGTTTGACACCGGAGCTGAATGATCTTTACTTATATTCACTGGACGTTAGCGTAGCAGCGCGTGTTCGAATTTGAACAAACTATGTACTTTACGTAGTTACGGGTCAGCAGCCAATCAACGACGGCCTCACAGTTAGATGACAATTTCGGTTTCAAATACCCCGGGAAAGTGTTCTATGTTTTTCACACAAAAACTACGAATTCGGCCGAATATCATCCCAACGGATCGTTTGGCTGTGAAGGATTGGTATTTTTCCTGATTTGTAGGAATCTGAAAAACGCGTTTCACAACTGTCATGCCGTATTCAAGATGGCGGCCCCTTACAGTAAATACCGAGATGCGACTTAGCGAGGGCCCGGGTCACTGTATCGCATTTATTTTATTATCACTTGTGCGCCAGCTGACTGTGATTTGATGTACATGAGAAATTATTAAAAATTCGTTTATTTTCTTCAATGTAGCTCACTTCACTCAAGTAGTTTGGATGGAAAGCGCCGAAGTTGGTTGTGGTATCGCAGAGGGCGCTGGTTCCAGGGACCAATACATAACCTATTGGACTGTATGTCTGTATACTCCGCCCGGGAACACCCCACGTAACAGCGAAAGGGCTTTCGCTAGAAATGTGCAACCACTGTTATAGACAGTCGACGGCTTGTCTGACAAATCGTATTATAATGTACTAACAGTACACGTATTGATCGTATCAATAAATTATTAACCATATTCATCGGACTTCCGTGCCTTATTCTACGACAGTAATCATAGACATTATAAAACCATTTATTTTCACTGACATTTAATTTCGCTATTTTGAAGTTTTGAGCATATTCACAATGAGCTTTGTAAATTTATTTTAGAAAATTCAACATATCAGAAAAACTGACAAAATTAAACCCCATTGTCGATGTCACCAATGCTGAGGATGCTGGGACAGGCTGGACGATCACGTGTGTGTGTGTGTGGGAGGGGGGGGGTTACTATATATATGCTCACGTAAACTGTATTTTCTGATACAATTATCTGCCCAAGGGCGGTGATATCAAAGTCACTGTCTGCACACGTTGGTAGTACAACAGCATCTTCCGACTCGTATTTCACGTCCTGGTTTGTTTATCATAGAAATTACTGATCGTTTTTTGATTGAGCTATGTCTGAGTGGATGCCTCATGGTCTGTTGACATTTGTAAACTAGAGTAGAAATGTACACTATTATTTGGGTTTACATCCATCTCAGACACGGAAGGTCACACCAATGACATCCTAGTTACTGGTAAATTATTGGAGGAATGCGTGTAGATATATGTATGTCGCTTATTCAAAGGGTCAAATCTATACATCGCAACTCCGCGTGCAGTAGACTCCATTTGGCCAGTATAGTCTTTCGAACGCGTTCCCCGTTGTTTTAAAGTGAAAATCTATAGCCCCAAAAACGAAATAATTGGAAACAATATCCATATAATAACAAATAGTATAAATAATATTTAATAAATTCGTTGCCAAATTATGTCGATGACTGGAATTTGGTAACCTGTAACACGTCTCAGACAACTAATAAATTGTCTGAGAACACATTTACAATAGTTGCATGCCGTGTCATATTTTTAGGTAAACTAGTAGAGCATTAAATTATATAAAGCATTTCAATCTAGCGTCACATTGACGTGAGTCCCATGCGACGTATTCACGGCCTGTGGAATACGTGAAATTCAAACACGCGCTGCCCGGGGACTGCGAGGTTTTAATTTAGTGACGAATAAACTTGTTGTTGATTTGACGAATTTACCAGCTTGCAAAATTAGCTAAAATGACATACTCGTTTGATAGTACAAGAATGAAAATCTAAAGCTGATAAGTAAACCAGTGCATGCCAAGACCAACGGTGTCTATATTTGTGTTTTTATCCTTGACTGGAATGCATATATTGAGTACAAACTATAAATAAATGCATAACGTGGTTTCTAAAACATGGTTAGTGTTGCAGCCATATGGGAATACACCCTGAGATACACATACACTTGAACAATATCACCAACTAAGCGGTGTTACCGGAGTTATTACAGGATGTGCGTTTAATGGCTATCGAGAATTGACGCAATCACGACCCGGAAAGTACTACTTAGTGCTAGTGATATACTGCATGTGCTGATGGCAAATGTTTAATTCACGAAAAACATTCTTTTCAATGTGTGGATGGATTTGATGTAAACACTGTAGAATCCAGGGCAACGTTACCACGACCACGAGAACAATTGACTGGACCGTTTCTGCTCGCACATCTCCACGGGTATATCACCAGTCGACCACCAGCTTATGAATCTCGCAAACATAACACGTGTTCAAATTGCCCATGAGTCAAAGTCGAATCAAAAAACAATTGAGCTTACGCTGAAAAAAAATCAATTTTCCCAGTACACTTTTTAAAAACAATCAATAACGATTAAATGTAGTCGAAATAAACATTATGGGCCATATCAGCGATCACTTTTTCGACAACATGACTTATCAAGGCTGATATAAGTGATCGAAATCGAGGCTATGTCGACCTCGTTCGCCAGTTGATAGATCAAGTCCTCATTCGGCATATAGAATCTTGCATATGACATCATAACGAAAGCTATCATTTGTTGCAAGACTGTTCTGTATCATGAATCTCGCGAATTCTTCACTTTTAATAATGGTGCTTGTTTTGGCAAATTGGAATATTACTTTTGCTCAAACACAAGAAAACTCTCGATTGGTAAGTGTAGACCTGTGTTTGTATTTGATGATGCACTAGAACGAAATTATCATATAACCGCGCCAAATAATTGACATGTGAATTGTAAATTAACGTCACTTTCATCAATCAGTAAAGTTTGCTTTAAATATACAATGTTTGACTACAGAACGGCATTTATATTTGCAGTGCAAGTAGTAAGATCGTAGGCTGCCTTGCTCAACTGTTTAGCATGCCTGCCCGTTACATTAATTCAATAGGGAATGGCGAATGCACACTTGTATGAAGAACGTCAATGATTTATATACATTTGCCATTATCAGTGATATATTACTTTTCATTCATTCGTTCATTCGTTTGTTCCTTCATTTATTCGTTCATTCATTATCTATTTTGATACATTCAAATACTCAACATAGTGCGAATAAATGAGTTAGAGAAACGTTTGCTTGAAGAAGTCCTGATTGTTACTTTCCAAATTAAGTAAAAAGCATGTAGTGTTCATTCGTGTTCCGCTCAGTGTAGATCCCTGTACACCTATCTCTCCTTCTCAACACAACGTAGTTCTTAGAGAAATCAGCTGCCATTTGCCGCAACAGTTTGTCGTGCATATTATTCAGAATATTCAGAAGAGAGTCGTGAAGTGGTAGTCAATAAGATATGAATAGTGGAGCGATAAAAGAGAAAATAATGTAAAATTAATTCCATCTATAGAACTTTAAAGTAGCGCTGACGTCATGGAAACGTGCATGGCCGAAACTCCTCCAGTTTTACAGATTTGTTTTGTACAGTCTGTTATTTGATAAAATATCTAAATAAGTTCACTGGATTGTTTGTGGCATGAAAGAAACCGACACGTGTAAATGGATAGGGTTTAATAATTTACAGTCAAAATACAGTAAGTCAATCTCGTAAAAACTATGTCACTCTAAAATAATTAGTTACACCACAAAGTCGGTGCCCATAGCAACCGTTTCACTATCCGTGAACTATGAAGCAAGGGTCGTCATTCCAATGCACGGGGCACGCATCTCTCATGTACTGGGTGTAACTCGTATTTCCAGGCGCTGCAGTTAGTCGAGAATTTATGTTTCCAGGCTCTGTAGTTAGTCGAGAATTCATGTTTCCAGGCTCTGCAGTTAGTCGATAATTCATGTTTCCAGGCTCTGCAGTTAGTCGATAATTCATGTTTCCAGGCTCTGTAGTCAGTCGAGATTTCATGTTTCCAGGCTCTGTAGTTAGTTGAGAATTCATGTTTCCAGGCTAGATTAGATTACTTTCAGATTAGCTATTCAGATCACTCTGCCTGTACGCACCGGGAACTGTTCATGTATAACAGCTACCTTTCCACTAATCAGACAACACGGTATTGTAAGCATGTTTCTGAAGTGAAGCGGACAGTGATCACGTCCATGAAAGTGATGTTTGATTAGTTACATTGTACTCATGTATTTATCTAAATGTATAACACTTAAACATGTTAACTATAAATATACACATGTATGTCAAAATTGAAAGTGAATTATTATACACAAACAAATGTTATGCATTTAACATTCAGTAAAATGGTTAAGTCTCTGTGGCTGATTATCGGTCAATGACCTATTGAATTGATTAATTTATTGAACTTTATTGAAGAGGACTTGTCACCAAAGCCTAATTTTGATCTCGGGCCAAATACAATGTTTCCGTTGAAGTTTTCTATGGTAAACTAAGACATTTTCCCATGCACAAGTAATACATTTTACACTTTAAAAATTCTAACATAACTAGCTTACTCGCTGTTATATGGACAAAAAGTTTATGGTCGGAAATGTTGGAAGCCATATTTAATTTATGCAAATTAGGCATATTTTGCAAACGTACGTTCGGTGCACTTTAGAATGTATTGTGTGTATTGGGGGATTCTTTTGCAATGTATGGTTGGCAGGGCTTTTAAACTTGCATCTTCACTAGACTAAATTGACAAATAATATTTACGTAGTTTTAATATTTATTTATGTGCAAGGAACTAAAGATATTTGATATCACTCGCCAAGCCATCACTGATGTGTCTTACAAAAAGGTAGCGTGAGTATAAGCGGAACTTCGTATGACTAGAGTAGTAACTGTGGAGTGAACTATTATGGATGCTAGAGATGCTAGCTTTGTGATATCATGACTTTACTGACATTTTACTGACATTCATCACAGGAAGTAACGTATTGCTGTTTTTATCCGAAATTAATTGTCATGAATTTGTTGGAGCGAACAATGTCCCTGATTTTATTTCCACATCCCTTGATTGACGATAACTTCAGATTGTTAAAGCGCGAGGGTCGCCACCTGCGCACGCGCGGGAATTGAGTCCCAAGCGACGATAACAACACACGCTAAAACGCAAAGGCTCATGGGTAGACTCTTGTTTGTAAACAATGACATGCTATGGCCATCTGACACATGTGCAGGTGACGACTCCCCCACTTTAAAGAATCACAGTCGGCTTGCAATGCGCTTTGATGTTTCTCATCAAACTTTATTAAGAAGAAGACGTCTTTGTCAAAACATACGTTTCATATGATATATGACAGTCTCTAAAGTCGAGTAAACATGGCTGTTTTGCTGTGCCATATCAAGTGGTGGGGTTTGAACCAAAGCAAACTTTGCAGCTGTTTAAAACAGACCCACGTTGTAAGCAGTATAGTTTATACTATGGTCAATGATTGTAAACATTACACAGCTGCAGGAATGTCTTCCACCCAGATCACCATGTGCCAAATCAATTTTATAGCTTATTAACATGTCCATTTTGGCAATTGATAGGATATGACCCGGATGTTTATACGTTAAATCGCTATGTGAGAGCGGATTCAGATTCATTTTATCCCAATTTTTGGATTGATAATAGACGTTATGGGTACATCTATACATTCATTATTTTTAAGGTGAATATGGGAAATTATAGACAAAATGACACGGCCATAATGTCAATATTATAGTAGATAGGAACATTATAGATATATTAATACA